TGTGTGTGTGTGTGTGTGTGTGTGTGTGTGTGTGTGTGTGTGTGTACCTTGTCAGGAGTGAGGAGTGGTAGCCCTTTTGGAGAAAGAAACCTAAACAGGCAAAAAGTCATTTTTGGATTAGTGGAGGATCTTTGCCATTCTGGGACACAACACAAGTCAGAAAACAACCCAGTTCTCATACACCACTATAGAAAATAACTCCTTTGAAATACAATCTTCACCCCCGCCTCCATTGATTATGGGGCAACAAGAGCAAAATGAAATGCTGAAAAATGTTTCCTTTATTTAACTAATTTTCTGAGTGTTAAAATTGTTCCACTAACATTTTATTGTCATTTAGCTCACATTTTGCTTATTTTTACTCAATGTTAAATTTAAATGATAGATTATTGTGTAAATATTAAAACCAAAATCTAAATGTGTAAATCTAAACATAAAAGTTAAATCTTAAATGTTGCAATTAAATGTTGAAGTTTACAATTGTGATCTGGATCACAGCCTTTGCTGTTGGAGATCAGCTATCATTATGACATCATTATCCTGAGACAATAGCAACTGCTAATATTGCTAATGCTGCTAATGCTTCCCTTCCAAGCTGACCTTCAAAGTGCTGGACCACAGGTACCATCCGCATTACACACATGTTGAATTTCAATTTTAAAGACTATCTTCAGTGGTGTAGCGTTAGCAGCTTTAGTGGCGTTACGTCATCATCCTGCAACCAAAGCAAATGCTAATGCTGCTAAAGCTGCTGATTTTAATATTTTAACATTTAAATTTTCAGTGTATTTTATTTTACACTTTGTGCCCCATAATCAATAACATTAATTGTTCATGGTCTTGTTTTCAAATTCATAAAGCTTACTAAAAGAAAGGACACCACGCACAAGCATAAATTGCCTGACTTATTGAATTCTTTTTATTCATTATAAACACAACTCAGGAGCAGCCAAAGAACGTGATACCTTCACATGAGTTGACTTAAAACTTTAAAGCAGTTCATGAAAATATAAATTTCAGAATAATTGCCTAAATTAAGTTTTTCTGTTTGTGTGCAGAATAGATTCGGACTTTGTGCCTTTAATTCGTGTCAAATTCACATCTTGCCGCTCATTGTGTGTGAGATCTTTTGTAATTCTGATATCATAAACCTGACTTCCATCTACTTGTGTCTGCTGCTGCTTTGCTTAATCTCATTTTGCTAAGCTGTGTGCCACACACACACACACACACACACACACACACACACACACACACACACACA